CAATTCCAATGGCAAACACAGTCTGATAGGGTAAAACTGCAATCTTAGAGCTAAATTTTGGAGTGAATTATAAAAACAAATCTGTTAGCTGACATCTATTTTGTGTGAAACAGAAAAGTTCAAAAGTCGCTTGCAGACTTGGAGAAACTTCACTTAGCTGGCCAAGGAATCAATTTATCTTTGCCTACAGGTGCTGGACAAAACAAGGTATGAACTACTAAATAGTACAACATGTTCATTTAAATTATATCTGCTTACATTCCTCTTTATACTTAGGTATTAAAGAGCCAGCTTTTTGTGGAGAAGTTTACAGAGACAGTCCAGCACACATTCCTTGAATACTTGGCATCAGGGTTTGAATTAAGCTTCATGGTTGCAATTGATTTCACAGGTAGAAATCAAAAAAACTTTTTGAATGAATATGTAATGTTGTTGTTAGTTTTGTAACCTAAACTTTTTTTCTATTGTCCTTCAGCTTCAAACGGAAACCCACGCCTCCCTGATTCTTTGCACTATGTTGATCCTTCAGGACGATTAAATGCCTACCAGAGAGTGAGCATTCAGTGTGTTATTCCATTTTTTTTTAAATTAACAGTGACTGTGACTAAAAACTGATCATGTTCTCTTCCTTTTTTTACTCAGGCAATAGTGGATCTTGGAGAAGTGTTGCAGTTTTATGACTCAGATAAACGCTTCCCTGCCTGGGGATTTGGAGCTCGTCCTATAGACGGTCCAGTTTCACATTGCTTTAACCTCAATGGAAGCAGCAGTTCTTACTGTGAGGTAAAACAAACTCAACAGGATCTCTTTAATACAGTGTAAAAAATTGATCTAAGCTCCTTTATAGTGAATAATCTTATAAAGCGCCTAATGCCGCTTAGCTATTTCTTGGACATTGCTTTAATATGAGAACTTTGATGTTTTAGGATTCACAAATCATTTGTTTTCTTTCTCTCTCAGGTGGATGGGATTCAAGGAATCTTGACTTCATACACAAGTGCGCTTTTCAACGTCTCTTTGGCAGGACCTACTCTTTTTGGTCCGGTGATAAACGCTGCTGCTATGATAGCTAGCCAGTCTCTAGCTCAAGGCTCACGTAGATACTACGTCTTATTAATCATCACAGTGAGTATATATATATAAAAATATAAAACACAACATCAAATAGCAATAATATAACAAAATCAAAACATTGTTTCAGGATGGTGTTATAACAGATCTTCAAGAAACAAAAGATGCGTTGGTCAGTGCATCTGATTTGCCGTTATCAATTCTTATTGTAGGAGTTGGAGGAGCTGATTTTAAAGAGATGGAGGTACAAAAAAGATACTTAAAGATTCTTACAACTATATATGATCTTTTATGTAAACTGTGTTTGTGTTTTTGGTTGGGTCTTTTAGATACTTGATGCGGATAGAGGAGACAGGTTGGAGAGCTCGACAGGGCGATTAGCTTCACGAGATATTGTTCAGTTTGTGGCACTACGAGATGTGCAACGTGAGTTTATGTTTGATTCTTGAGAAGGTTTGTTAGTTCTTGAGTTGGTGGGGTTTAATGAGTGTATTGTGTTGTGTTGCAGATGGAGAGATATCTCTAGTACAAGCGCTACTTGCTGAATTGCCTTCACAGTTTTTGACGTATATGAGAATCCGTAATATGAAGCCAATTCCTCTGTGAAAGATGGATTTTGTGTAATTGTTTTGCCAAAGAAAAGTGTACATAGAAATATATATACTTTGTACATTGGCTTTTTTCTTTCTTCATGTTTTTGTGTTTTCTTTTTTTTCGGAATCTTGGATGTATAAAAGTTTTAAAATGAAGCAAGTGGTTATTCAACTCATGTGTGCATCTTTCATTATAGTAACACAGCTAAATAAATCTTACCAGCTCTGGAAATTATTAACATAAACTAAAAAAAAAAAAATCTCATTTTGACATTTTCACACAAATGAATTTTTTTTTTTTTTTTTGTAACTGGCTTGCACAAATGAAATTTTTTATTAACTTCTTTTTTATCTATCACTAATACATTAATAAATATATATATATATCCAATTAAAATTAGAATATTGTTTATAAATTTGCAGTGAAAATGCAAAATGATAGTATTTGTGAAACAGAATTCTTTTTTAAAAAAATATAAAATGAAATTTTTTGTGAAGTTACTAACATAAACTAAAAAAAATTCTTATTTTGACATTTCACACAAATGAAATTCTCATTTTTATTAAACTTCTTTTTATCTATCATTAATAAATTAATAAAAAATATATATCTCCAATTAATAAATTTAATAATAAATTAAAATTAGAATATTGTTTATAAATTTGCAGTGAAAATGCAAAATGATAGTATTTGTGAAACAAATTTTTTAAAAAAATTATAAAATGAAATTTTTTTGTGAAAGAGAGAGATTATTTGGGAAAGATATGATATTTATTCGGGTCAAAACTGGTATAGCACATTAGAAGATTTTGATGGATTAGTGGAAGCGAGGGAACACATACAAGTATTTCACTCATTCACTCGGAAGTTGAAGCACTCATAAAGACAATGGAGTGCATGAGGAATTTACGTCAATTTTAGTTACTTTTGTAACGAATTGTTCGCAACTGGTAAAGATGGTTTCGGAACTAGAAAAACTATCAGTCTTTACAGGTTATCTAGAAAACATCAAGATATTAAAGAGAAGTTTCTACAGTTCGGAGCTTATCCATATATCGCGAACGCAAAATTTACAAACAGACAGTCTTGCATGAAGTGTCAAAAAACAACTGTCCTTTGTCGTTCATGTGGATACAAAATTATCAGTTTGATTTGCAGAATTGTCATGAATATGTTTATAGAAGAAAAAAAAAGAGATTATTTGTCTAAAAAGTCATAAGTTTATAAATGCAGGGAGAGTGAGACTTAATTAAAGACATTCAACAATAATGACCTATTAATTTTGTTAAAATGTGATCAATAAACGTAACATAAACCGTCGGTTAGGGAAATGGTTGTTGAACCTAACACCTACACTACCTACAAACAGACACAATGCACAAAGACACATCTTTGCGAGTCAAAGTGGCTGTATTGCATTTACAACTTACAAGTCTTACACTATAATCCCACATGACACATTGCTCTTTTTACCTGTCAACTTACTTAGCTGTTGACATTTTTGCCAATACTTATTAGTTACTCAAATATGGAACTTTTTAGATAAAGGCCAACAATATATATAAAAGATAGGCAGTCTTATAATGTACACTGTATAAAATTTTCCATTAGAAAGCTGAAACGTGTACACAAACCCCCTACCCCTCACACCAGAATGATACAATTTAACAGTTTAGCTTTTTGTTCATCATACAGCTTATTTAGAAATATTTATTCGGAAATATCCTCTTATTACATAAATTAAATAATGTATCATTAAGTAAACAATCATGATTTAAATATTTTTTATTAAGGTTTATAGGACAAAAATTTAAACTGATTTATTGGGATAAAGTTCCAACATTTGAAATATGAATCGAACATGAATAATATATAAGAGATTTGGGCTAATCCATTTTACCAATTAGTTTTAAGTTGAAAATTTAAAAAAACTCATCATGGTATCAGAACTGCCTCATACCCTGACTCATTAATCTAGTTCAGATAGTGGCCTGATCATCCCACAAATTAATGGTTCAAAGAAGATTTAATTTCTTTGAGATATTTAGAAAAAAACACTATCTTAGAGTGATATGATAGATTTTGATAAATTAATGGTTATATGCACCATTATCTCGAGGGAGGATATTGAGATAAAAATTTTATATTGGAAATGTGAATGGTAATAATATATAAGAGATTTGAACCAATTCACTAATTGCCAATTAGTTTTAAACTGGAAATCTAAAAAAATTATCATGGTATCAGATCCACATCATGATCGATTAATTCTGTCCGAAAAGTAACCTGATTATCCTATTAGCTGATTTTCTTAATTGCTTTTATCGTTTTAATTGCTTACCAGCAAGCCATCTTTAGATATTAATTTAATAACAGAAAAGTGTGAAAAGTGTCTAAAAGCATTGTTTCTAACAATTATTTTCGATACAATTATCTAAAAAGTGAGTGTAGTGTAGAGTATACATATAAAAATTAATACAACATCTTGTGATAATGTTAAATTTTCAGTAAGGATTCTGCATTGCTGCCAAACTTATAGGCGTCCGCGTCGCTTTGTTTATGTCGATTGGAGTGTGTACACATTTATTGGATTCAGAGGTTCTAAAACTTTTTTTGTGTTGCAAACTTTTAGTCAAACCCTAATTAAAAACTAGATTCACTTCACACGTACGCAAACTCATATTGCCATTTTTTTTCTTATCGCGTTCCATCCACAAAGGAAACATATACACTTCTTTTTTTTTTTTTTTTAAACATCTTTCATCTTTTTAGAGAATATATGTCGATATTTGACGAAAATGAAATTGTCGGTTAACATTAAACTTACAACTAAATCCTTGCGAGAGCACGAGTTCTTTTTTTATTTTTATATTATTATTCAGAAAATAATAATATTTCTTTTCCTCATGTCCATGAGTGTGTTAACACTTTTACAATTACAATAATATCATACAAAACGTGAACATGCATGCATCTTCTCTAAGTTCCAACTCGTGTTGTATCCCCCTTTCGTCTGATATTTAAAAATACACATGCACTTTCCGTATTAGGAAATGTTTAACAAACATTCTCATATTATACATCTCGTCATTTTAAGGCCCCAATATTGATTCGTACTAATCGTACATGCAAACATGTTTTTATTACTATACAATAATAACACTAAGTACAATAAAATAAATAACTAAAAAACCAAAAAAAAAAAAAGAGAGAACCAAACTCAAACGGATATTTTTTGAAGGTCATATGTTCACACGTAAACCTGATTTCCTCTATAAAAAAACTCAGAATATTGCATTCAGAAAAGAAGACTTTACTCTCTCTCTCTCTTTCTTCTTTCATTTTAACCTAGTTTCTTCTCCATATCGCCTTCTTGTTCTTGATGTCCAAAGAAGAGCAGAACAAACCCTAAACTCTTATCATATCTCGGATTCTAAATAAAATCTAGCAAAATGGATCCTCGATATTATGGGAATATGCCCTTTGGAGGCGAGGAAAATGAAGAAGCCGAGGAAAATGAGAACTTATTCCCAGTCTACTCGGCTAGATCTCAACATGACATGCGTGTAATGGTCTCAGCTTTGTCTCAAGTAATTGGAAACCAAAACAGCAACTCTGACGATAGTCCTTCTGTGTATAATCCACAAGAATCTAGTCAACAAGTTGCTCCTACTCATCAAGATCAAGGTAGATATATACATGCTCGTGTCTATGTTAAATTACTTGAAAATTTTGTGTGAATGTCATGTCTAGCAGATGTAGATCTCATATTTCTATAGGAGATCCAGTTTATAACTTAAAAGTATGGTATTATTAAATGTGATTTACTAATTTGGATATAGATTGTTCTCTAAGATAGTTATAGAATGACATTATTAGTATATGGTTCAATTAGTCAGCACCAATATGTGATGATATGCATTTAAATACTTACACTAAGCATATATATATACAATGCATACATTATAACATATGTAATAGCAATATTAATATTTGTGATTGATATTAAGGGAATGTGAGGAGGAGACACTATAGAGGAGTAAGGCAAAGGCCATGGGGGAAATGGGCAGCTGAGATTCGAGATCCGAAAAAAGCAGCACGTGTGTGGCTAGGGACATTTGAAACAGCTGAGTCCGCAGCCTTAGCTTATGATGAAGCAGCTCTTAAGTTCAAAGGAAGCAAAGCCAAACTCAATTTCCCTGAAAGGGTTCAGCTAGGAACCAATGTTATTAACAATCAGCTCTCTAACTCTACTTGTTACTCCTCAAATCAAACCGAAACGCGAAATGTTCCACACTATAACCAGTATTATCAAGATGGGAGTAATAGTGATATGCTAAGTTTTAATTTGGGAGGTGGTTATGGTAGTGGTAATGGTGTTTCAATGTCTCATGATCATAGTTTATCAACTATTACTACTGCTGCAACAACTTCTTCGTCTTCTGGTGGCTCTTCTAGGCAACAAGAAGAGCAAGATTATGCTAGATTTTGGCGGTTTGGAGATTCTTCTTCCTCTCCTCATTCGGGTTATTGAGATGATAATAAGAGATTTGTGTTACTTGCGATGAAGAGATGTGTTATGATTCTTGAATGTTTTGGTATTTTTATTTTTGTTCGTTAAGGTTTCATGAAAGTGTAAGATTTTATTTGATTTTAAATTATATAATTAGTTTCCTATCAACACTTTTTGTCCTGACACAACACAAAGCTCACAGGTTCTAATCAAATAAATTTCATATTACATGAGAGGCATGCATACACAAACTAGTGAGCTAGTGTCACTTGTATGGTGCAGTTAGATGACATCTGATCATATATTGATAAATGTATGTTCCGTTAACGTATGTATAAGCACGTTTCAACTCTGACTTTTTTTTTTTTTTTGATAATCTAGGGATTCTCCACTTATAACGTGGATAATTCTCCTTTGTCCGGTCAGGCAATGGAATCGGGAAGGTTTTACCTGGGTTGAGCACAAGGTCTAACACCCAATACCGTATAAAATAACATAAAAATAACAAAATTAACAAAGCTAAGTGCAAAAATACCAATATGATGAGTTGACATGAAATAGTAATTCAAAATTAACCAACTAATTTGTCGTGTGAACTACAAGATTCGGTGTCCAACATGCATGTGAGCTTCAAAGACATCATGCAAACTTCAAACTACTAAAAATGATTGTCTTTTATTTTTGTTCGGTTGTGTTAGTTTTCACAATGATCGGCTTAAGACGCGTGATAGGCACCGTCACAGCTTTGCTGGACGGTCTAGACCCTCAACGAAATGTCTTATGATGAAATCCACTTGGATCTGGAGTTAAAAGTCTTACACCACTTGGTTCACTAATGGATCTCTATCAAATTGACTATCTATATAAAGTTAAAAAATATTATAGTGACGTGTGTGTTTGAATCTTGTGACGAAAATAGAAAACAATGAGATGAAAATTTCACATATGGTTCTGAGACTGATAACAATATCAAACCGAACTAAAACTAATTGATAATAAATCAATTATATTTTTATATATTATTTTAATTTTAAATTGTTTGGGAAACGATCACCAGTTTTGGGTTAGATGGATTAAAATCACATTGATCGAATTCTGATATCAGATGAATTTTCAATTTAAAATTACTTCTTAATACATATATTATTATTATTATTATTATTATTATCATTATTATTATTATTGTTATTATTATTATTATTTTAACAACTGAAATTTATTTATTAATTATATTGTAAACAAATTACATAAATATATACAATAACAGGAAAAATAAATAATAATTAAAACTATGATAATACTTCCTGCAAACTTAAAATCTTTATCGCAGTTTGAATATTTGTTATCTTTGTTGTATTATATTGGTTTTATTGCAATTTAGAATTTATTATCTTTGTTGTATTATATTGATTTCATTCCAATTTAGAATTAGATATATAAATATGTTGGTTCTAAATTCAATATACTGAACCAACTATAGGAAGTAATAATCGGAATGACTGTTTGTTAATTATAAGAATATTATGATACAACAACAAAAATATTTTTTTGAATGATGCATTCCATGATTTCAAACAAATGTTTTGATATAAAATATATTATTTTATTTTATTATGTATTATTTTGAAAAAAAAAGAAATCAAACTTCCGATATAAAATTTAATCTATTATAAAAGAATATGGCATCACACCGCTTCCTTTTTGAATTGTCTACTTCATCACATCACAAGTTGTGAATAATACAAAAAGAATTAACAAGACAAAACATAAGAAACTGAAATGTCTTATCTTCTGCGTGCGATTTTGGTTTGTAATAAAAATGAAATAGACAGTTTGAAATCTCACCATATAATTTCAAGTCGACAGACTAGAATTCAACGAGTATACCTAAAAAGTAGAAAAGTCAATATATAATAAAATAAAAACAGGTTTAGACTTTTTACAAGGGCCGGTGAGTCGGTGACTGTGCGAACCCGCCGGCCTTACCAACCTTGTCTCACTTCAACCATTGCGGCCGTACAACATCTCTCCCTTCCAATCAAACTTCTTAGGCCCAAAACCGTCTTGTTGTAAGCCCACTACTTTAATATGGTTATTCAAGTACATCCCCCAATGTTTCAAGTAATCCTTCTATTGCCCCCATATCTTTCATTTTTTAATTAATGGTCTGTTGACTCGATTCTTCTCCAATAATAGAGTTAGATTGTGATTAGTCCTGAGCATATTATTCGAAATCGCAAAACCGAAATAGAACCAAAAAAACCGAGATCGAAACCGGTCCAAAAATTACAAAAACTCAAATGATTCCTATATTTCTAAATCTGAAAAAGTAAAATCAAACCGAGAACGAATCAAAACCGAACCGAAAAACAAATGGATACTCGAATATTTTGGATTTATTATATATTAATTATTTTTAAATTTAATATATTTGAAATATAATTTATAAATAAAATATCTTAAAAGTTCGAACTACCCGAAGAACCTGAATATTTTTTCGGGTTTAGGGTTTAACTCGGGTTTTCGCGATTTTTCGGTTTATTGAGCTTTAAACCCGAACCAAACCCAAATTATTTGTAATACGGTTCTATGTCGGATTTTATAAAAAAAATAGAAACTGACCTGAACCCGACAATTTCCGAATCGAACCGATCTGAAATATGTCCAGTTCCTAAGCATCCCAACCGAAATAATCTAAAATCCGAATAAACCGAACCGATCCTAACCGAAAACCCAAATGATCATGACTAAGTGCGATTATGAATCTCTCCCTTTAATTATCTTCAAACATCTAGGCCCAAAACTAGCTTATTGTAGGCCCACTATTTTAGTATGGTTATTCAGGAACAGCCCCCAATGTTTCAAGTAATTCTTTTTTGCCCCATATCTTTCAGTTTTCAATTAATGGTCATTAGACCCGATTCTTCTTAAAAAATAGAGGGAGCGAGTGATTATGAATAGACGCGTGTTGCTTGGTTTTGTATTTGTTGTTCATTACAAACATGAAGACGACAATTATTCAAAGCTTCACACTAGTTTTTGAATTTATTTATCACAAATGGATAATGCGCACAAGGTGTTCGATACAATTCCCCAATGACAACCCTCAAAACGTTATTTTTTCCCCCAAATTGCCACGTGCCTCTCACGTGATAAAAGCCAACGTCTTCTCTTCCTTGCTGTTATGTTCGTTGACTTTCCCGCCACTATTCTTAACAAACTTTCTCTCTGAAGAACCAAAAAAAAAAAACAAAACTTGGAGACGAAGAAACCTAAGGAAAACTTTGAGAATCATTGACTATGAAGAAGTCTTCTCTTTTCAACGACGATGAAGAAGGCGCAAAGCTCTTCTGTGACGCTAAAGACCTAATCGCCGAAGGAGATCACGCCAAGGCCTTGGAGATACTCGAAGATCTGTTACTAGTCTACGCAAAAGAAGAAGGCTCATCGCTTCTCCACAACGAAGAAGGGAGAATCTTCTCGAAGCTATCACGAGAAGAAGCAGCAGAGAACAACAACCCTAACTTGATGTTCACGTATATTTTAGCTTCAGTGTCATGTTTTGTAAAAGACGTGAGGCTCTCGGGACGTTGTGCAGAAGGACTCTATGGATTAGCTCAACGGCTTGGATCAGTGTTGTATTACAAGGAGTGTGTTCGCGTAGCGAAGAGAGGTTTATATGTTTGTAACCTAGAAGAGAAAAGGAGGAAGAGGTTGGAGTTTCTGATCAAAGAGTCAGAGTTTGTGATCTCTCTTTCTAAGAAGGAATCTATCAGAAACGATGAGGGAAAGTTTTTGGAGATGAAGAGAAGTCTGGAAACGGTTAAGGATGAGGTTAATAAAGGGCTTAGGTTGTTTTGGATGGGTTTGGATGTTAAGATCAAAAGAGAGTTGATGAAAGTAAGCATTGAGAAGCTTAGAGGTTTTGTAAATAACAGTGAGGGAGTAGAGGCTTTGGAGAAAGTTCTAGCTTATGCCAGGGAACACAAAAAATGGACAACTTGGGTGTGTCGGACTATATGTTTAGCTGATTTCTCTAGTGCTGAAGAATGTAAGGCTCATCTTGAACAGAATCATGCTGCAGAGTTTAAACCTTCTTCGGATATTGTCACTAGGATAGGGGGAAAATGGGTTCATAAGATACAGGTTGGGCCTTGGGAGCCACTGGATACAGTAGCTGCCGTTGATATGATCAACACTCAGATAGAAGTTGTGAAAGAGTTTACAAGTAAATCTAGGAAGAAGGGATGGTCAAACCAATGGCCTTTAGCTGCGGATGAAAAGAGGAGTAGTTTACTCAAGGAAGTTAAACTACTCCTTGTGTCGCTCTGTGAGCATCAGATTCTCTCTTGTAGCATTCGAGATTGGTTGATGTATTTTCCGGTTAAGTGTCTTGAAAAACTTGAAGTTTCAGAGCAGAGTATTTTCGATTGTCACATAGTGGAAACACCACAGAGTTTATGTTTTCTGGAATGTTATGAGCTGAGTCAAATCAGAGCCTTTCTGAAATCCATCAAGTGTGAAAGGCATGATGGTACAGAACAAGTTTGCAGAGCAGTGGACAGTGTGTTGGATAGTATTCGAGTTAAAGAAACTATTGAATTTGACGAGCAGTTTTCCTTGCTGCTTCTGGATAAAAGACTATTGAAAAGCAATAATGCTTCATTTGATGGTGATGATGGGAAGATCCATTTCATTGGAAAACCTGATGTTCACTACGCCAAGGCACATGCTCAGGGAGATGATATCATATCATGGTTAGGTAACTCCTCTTCAGTGGATAAAAGCTTTCCAAAACCTATCAGGGAACACAATCTTGAAATTTGGGTGGCTGTTCTGAGAGCTGTTCAGTACACATGTAGAGCTTTGAGATCCAAATATGCAAAGAAAGAGCAGGTTTTAGAATACGAAGCAGCTCTTACTTTCGTGGAGAACTTGTGTATGGTTGAAGATAATAGAAGAAAGATTGTTCATGAAGATCAGTGGAACTGCTATGCATCTCTTCTGTGCAAGAGAGCCGAAGAGAGATTCCCTGAAAATTCCCTCACTGCAAAGCTATTCTTGTGTGCAGTACGAGATGTTTTAAACGGAGCATGGGATGTGACATTTGATTTCTCTGACTTAGAAGATTGCATGAGTCTTATCCGTGAGAGTAAATGTCTCAGTGATGGCGTAGTGTTAAAGTCCATAGAACTTCTGAAATCAATGGTCACCCAAGAGGTTCATGCATGCTTTGAATATATCCAAGGATTAGATTGTTAGAATTGTCCATCTAAAACTATCTAAATGGTGACTTGCAGGTTCTGCTGATCGATGCAAAGATATTGCTGATTGATAACTCAAGGATTAGATTGTTAGAGAAGCTCACAAGGCTTTCTGCTTTTGATAACCGCTCTTATATGCTTCCACTGCTAAAACCTTTCTTGCTGGTTGGTTTAAAACTTTGGTTATATACAGAGAGCTCTCATTTTTTCGTTTGATTTGGTATTTGAGATGTTTCTTATATGGTTTTTTTCTCTTCTCATGTAGAATGAGATTGTAAATATGGAATCCAAAGCCAAGTCAGATGCAGCAGAAGCAGATCTTTTACTCGAAGAGGAGAAGATGTCACAGGCAAAAAAGAAGAAGACGAAAAGCATTAAGGTCTTTGAAGTTTTAACTTCTCTATTCGCTTTTCTGACTTTTAGGTTAATCTAATCTAAGAATGAATGGTCTTCATGGCGCAACAGAGAACTTCAACGAGCATTTCCACTCCCGTTGATAAGCTTGTTGAACAGTAAGTACCTTTTGTTGCGTGTTTGATGAATTGTTTTTGGGTTTTCTCTGAGGAAAATATGTTCTTACACGTACAGAAAACCGTATATCGACCTTAAACCGGGAGGTACGTCTCAATCACCAAAAACGACAGAAGAAGAGCTTCTCAGTTGACGAATAATTTGAACTTTTTTTGGTTTAATCATCCTTATTATATTCATTCACCATCTTCAAGATTCATTGTCCGGACATTTGGAGTCAGCACTTGAAGGAGCTGCAACTAGATACAACTCAGCTCCTGACATGACGATAAAGGTAAAGCAGTAACCAAACGAAAAAGGAACAAGATTCAGTACCTAAACACTGAAACCTTTCTTTATAACACAGAGAGCTTTCATTTGCCGGCTGATTTGGTATTTGAATTGTTTCTTATATATTTTTTTGTCTCTTTTCATCTAGAATGAAGTTGTAATTGTGAAATCCAAAGAGGGGAAGAAGTCACTCAAAGGGGAGAAGAAGTCCCAGGCAAAAAAGACAAAAAAAGATAAAAGCATTAAGGTACTTGAAGTTCTAAAATCTCTATTTGCTTCTCTGGCTTTTCGGTTAATCAGTTCTAATAATGAATGGGCTTAACAGATAACTTCAACGAGCAAGACTAGTCTTGTTTATAAGACAGTTGAACAGTAAGTACCTCAAGAGTCTTTTTTTTTTTGCGTGTTGTTAAATTGTTTTCTGGTTTTCTCTGAGCAAAACTCGTTCGTACATGTACAGAAAACCTTCTGTCAAACTTGAACCGAAAGAAGGTTCTAAGGAACCTGAAAGAGGTCGATTGGAAACTTCATCCAACACTGACATTCAAGTGGAAGCTACTACAGTTGAAGGAAATGCAGCCAGATACAATTCATCTCTTGACATGACGCTAAAGGTAAAAGAAGTAACNCTCTGAGCAAAACTCGTTCGTACATGTACAGAAAACCTTCTGTCAAACTTGAACCGAAAGAAGGTTCTAAGGAACCTGAAAGAGGTCGATTGGAAACTTCATCCAACACTGACATTCAAGTGGAAGCTACTACAGTTGAAGGAAATGCAGCCAGATACAATTCATCTCTTGACATGACGCTAAAGGTAAAAGAAGTAACTAAAAGAAAAGATTCAATTGCTAAAACCTCAAGAGTCCTTTTTTGCGTATTTGTTTTAGGGTTTTACTCTGAGCAAAACTTTTTCTTACATGTCCAGCAAACCTTCTGTCGACCTTAAACCGGGAGGTACATCTCAATCACCAGAAACGATGGAACCAGAAGTTACTCTTACAACTGAAAAGAGTCCACTGGAAATTTCATCCACCAATGACATTCAAGAGGAAGCTACTAAAGTTAACAGTGGTGGTAAAAAGGAGCTTCTCAACTGATGAATAATTTGAAAATTTTGTCTTGTTTTAAGATTCATCCTTCTTATTATATTCATTCACCATCTTAAAGATATGCAAAACATGCATGTAGAAGATTCAGTCTCTGGAAATATGGAGTCCGTACTTGGAGGAGCTGCAGCCAGATACAACTCAGCTCTTGACATGACCCTGAAGGTAAAAGCAACTCCTAAGCCGTTGTCTTCTGATTCAGCTCATTCCATCTCTTTACCTTATTATTCTTTTTGCAGGCCCTTGTGAGCATAAACGTTCTTAAACAAGATATAAAAAACAATAAGCAACCATTTAAGGACAACCAGGAAGAAGCGCTACAGAGTTTATTTACTGCTGTTGTGTCAGAGGAAATAAAAACTGAGGGAGTCTACAGTCTCGTCCTGAGATACTTACTCGTGTCCCTGGAAGACGTTAATTCCATGGTTCGTGTGAATAATATAAGCTTCTAACCTTTCATCATTTATATATTTTTTTTTGCATAATAAGCTTAATCAAAGGTATTGTATTTTTCATTCTTTTCAGTCGAGTGATTCTGCTGAGATACTTGTTACCATCCTTGAGTCTTGGCATTGCTGGAAAAATTCAGAAGGAGAAAGCTTGGTGAATCGCCTTTTCACGTTGGAGGAAAATGAAAGAATGAATTGTAGAAAATGCAGAAGGCAGCCAAATTATCCAGACCAGAGCTCTTATGGCATTGTTATAGCTGCAGATTCAATCAGAAACGTGAAGGTGTGTTTCATTTATTTCGCTCTTTATCTTTACTAGAAAAACTGGTACTTTTGTGAAGATGTTATGTGCTTATATGTATATATATATATATATATATATATATATATATGCAGTGTGCTTTTGGGGATATAAAGTTTGTGGATATCCTTAAGGCGATCCGCATGGGATACAAAATGTTATGTGACATTAAAACTGGAGGCTGTGGAACGACAAATGTTGTTCATCATGTTATAAGTAAATGCCCACCTATCTTCATAATCGGTATGTTTTTGAGAACCATGTTTGTGTTCTCATGTACTCATTTCATTTGTTATAAAATAACATTGGTGTGTTGTGGGGGTTTGCAACAATTAGTGTTGGAATGGGAGAAGAGTGAAACTGAAAAAGAGATAACAGAAACAACAAAGGCTTTGGAGTGGGAGATAGATATCAGCAGACTGTACAAAGGCTTAGAACAAAACACAAACTACCGGCTTGTGTCAATGGTAAACAAAAAAAACTTGTCCTAATTGTTTTTCTGTATTTGTCTGTTCAAGTCTCTGAAAATATGGGATGTGATGCAGGTTGGTTATAGTGAAGAAGAAGGAGAACACATCTGCATGGCTTATGAAAAGAACCGGTGGGTCAATCTGAGACGTGAGTCTTTAGCAGGAGAGGTATGACATAAACAGATGATTTTGTCTTCATTTTGTTGAATGGCATATGTGTTGGGATTACATATGTGTGGTAATGGAATAGGTTGTTGGTAGCTGGAAGAGTGTGGTTAGACTCTGTGGAGAAAGGAAGATTCGGCCAGAGATTCTGTTTTACGAAGCTGCACCGTCCATGATGGACTAACAAGTTTATCAACATGGAGAAGACAATTTGGTTCTGAAATTTGATCATTTGGTTTGATGCAATGTACTTAGAATCATGTTCAACTTAATCTTTTTAAGAGACACCCAAAGTAAGTAATGATGACACGTTTGAGGTTGATTGTTTTGGGTTTTTGGATTGGTTTCTTTTTTTTTTCAAAAACCATTTTTCTTTCAATTAAGTTTTTTTGCACAATGGTTTTTTTTTTTTTTTTTGAGCAACTGCACAATGGTTTTTCTAAAATCTAGGAAAACTAANAAGTTTTTTTGCACAATGGTTTTTTTTTTTTTTTTTGAGCAACTGCACAATGGTTTTTCTAAAATCTAGGAAAACTAATTTTTTTTTAAAAAAAACTGTATTTCTAAGCAAAAACCAAAAACCAACTTTTTCTTACTTTTTTACTTATCAAAAGATTTTACATTTATTTTTATTCAAAGAATAAAATCATGATCCAACCTACGTAAGTTTTTGCAACTAACCAACACACATATCAATTGATTCTATGAGCACATATAGCTAAGGCATTTTTCATATCACTAATCAGCCTAGTAAGTTTTTTACATCTATGCAATCAAAACAAAGTTTTATTATACTAAAAAAATAGTTATAATACTTTAATGTTATTATTATCTACTAATAAAATGGTGTAAACTACAAATAAATAACTCATATAAAATTTTAAATTTATCAATAGATAAATAAATAATTTTAAGTTAGTCATTACAAAAAATAATATATATCCATATATATTATTGATAAATTTTATGGCACTATATGAAAGGCATTCGAGATCAAATTTTTATATCCATATGAGATTTACAGTAGTTTTATTTTGTATTTGCAGTTATTAGTTTGGGTAATTCTCTTAAATAGCCATTTTTAGTTTTTATCACAAAAATTAAAATGACCAAAATAGCACTTTTTATTTTGAAATTTTAAGTTTTTTTTAATTTTTTTAAAAAATCTGAAAACTTATCCCCAAAACCTCACTCTTTAACTCTAAACAAAAAAATCTAGGATTAGTTAACCCAAGAGTATAAATGTATATTTAATAAAACATTTAAGTGCTATTTTGGTCATTTTAATTGTTAAGGTCTATATTTGTGATAAAAACTTTTTTAGATCTATTCTAGTCATTTTCTCTATTAGTTTAGGCTAATTTTATTAAATAAGTTTATTTGTGTTTTTGATGATGGTATTTTATATTTTTATTTTTCAAATTCTTTTTTTATATATTCTTCATCTTATTAATTTCAAAAGCAAAAACCAAAAACTAAAAACTATAATCTAAACCAACATTCATGTTTTTCAAAAAAACTAAAATCTACTAAAGAATCAAAAACTAAAAACTAAAAACTAAAAACTCAAAAAAAAAAACAATTTCTAAAAACTAACAAAATAATCATCACCAAAAGAGTACACGTAGAGCTTCTAAACAAGCTACTGGATCAAAAAGGCCCGGCCCATTAATGTTAAACATCAGTAAAATTTTATGATAAATAAACAAGCCCAACAAAAACGAGTAAATTAAAAGGCTAACAATCTAATTAAGACAACAAACAAGTAACTAAACCAACAATAAACCCAACTAATTAAACCCCATACCGCCAGACGCAGACGAACCCGTGCAACTAATACCATTCCCAACAATAACCGAAGCCGCAGCAACCGCATTGTTCCGCTCCAAATGGCACAGCTGACGCAACTTAGTGGGAACATACCAAATAGAGAGACGAGGATGAGCGTTGAAAACAGCGTCTATATCCCATCCATGACCACAAGCGATGTTCACAAGTGGCTTGTAACATGCCTGACGCCACGAGCCAACGTTCTCGCCGCGTTCTTTAAACGCTCTTCTTAGAGCGTTTGAAGCTTCTTCGTCAAGGCAGTGGAGTGCGTAGCAGTGAACGTAGTGTCGCATTTTGGGTTTGTTTATGTAACTCGCTCCTGATTTTTTAGCGTACCTGAATACCTGGTTCGTCACCTATTTACATATTTTGCGAGAACATAAAAAAAAATATCAGAATTTAATTAATGATTTAAAAAAAAATTCTTTTTTGTTCTGAAAAGGATATAGTATAGAGAGGTACCTAAATATATGTTAGAATATCAATAGTTTAAATAAAAAAATTGAGAAAGCAAATTAGACATTTTTATTAACTTAATTTTATGTAAGACTCAAATTTAATAAACTATAGAAAAGTACCTAACTATATGTTAAAATATAATAATTTAAATGAAATTACGAAAGAGAATTTTCTGTAAAACTCAGATTTTAATAACGTGCATCTGTACAAGCAATTGCACAGAGCTCATGGATTCTGTACTTTCATCACTCATTATATTACCCACTGAGCAATATCATGTATCTAAATATTATTTCTAAATATATACACACAAAAAATATCCTTATTATCAAAAAGTATAATATCTATGTATATTTAGTTACACACATGCATGCAGAAATTCAGTCTAATGTCGTTTTTAGCATAAAAACAAAACGACTGTGTCTTTTCCCTAACTCGACACGTTGTCGTACGGTGATTCTGTCAAACTTTAAATTGAAATCTAACTATATTCGTTACTGAAAACAAAAAGAAAATATAAAATCAGAACCTATATAAATCTTTGCCAGACATAGCAAAAACTAAAAAGAAAATAACAAAAATAATACTGGAAAAACCTGACCTCGTGACTTGTCAAACTTACTTTAAAACAGCTGTCCATGATAATAGCTATGGTTTCCCTACCATACCTCATAAATTCCGACAGAACTATATAGTACAAATATTTATGTCCTTTTTCCAAAAAAAAAAAACTATATAGTAATTTTTTTAATATAAAGTTAATCTTGAAAGATACCTTGGTGGGACATTTTTCGCCACGGTCTTTAGCAATGGTCTGAACCTGAACAAGAAACTCACGACACTGTTCGTACAAGTGGAAAAGATAATCCAAACCGTTCTTTTTGCCACGTGCCACTTCCCCAGGCTCAGTTACGATAAACGGATGCTCCCTTTGTCTCTCAATCCCCAACACAGCACCTCCGTTACCGTCATCGTCATCATCACCTTCGTTCATGTCATCATCGGTTTCCACTGACGTCACCATCTGTTTCTTTCTGCGTCTTTGTTGTGGCTTCTTCATCTTTCCCTGACCTGCTTCCCAATAGCCTCCGACGCCGTTGTTACCCGCCGCATCGGTATGCTGCTGCACGGGCTCTTCTGATAACCCTGTCCAATCATCTATATATATATATATATACACACTTTTCACAATCACAGTATTTATATTTACATGTTAACTAATTCTAATCCTCGTACTTCTTGCAATAGGTCTAATAGTTAAAAACCAGACCACCATTGCATACTGTATACATAATAGTTCTACAGTTCTACTATACTCTCTAGTCTACAGACCATTTTGAACAGAACCGGATAAAACATTCTCACTTACCTAAATTTTAGAGATTATTATACATAAGTCAATTCAAAGGATCTATAAATTGGCAAAAAAAAAATTAAAGTTGGAAGTAAAAATAATTATATTGATAACCACAAAAAATAATAATAATTAATCATATTCCTTAAATTTTTAGATTCGTCCCTATACAAGTATATGTGATTAGCTTATATAGAATTTTAGACTTTGAAGTTACATTGGAGAGCCTCCAAACAATTGATATTGATAGTTTAAACGAAATCATAATTATAAAATTATGTGAAATCATAGATATAAAATTATGTGAAATCGTAGTTATAAAATTATGTGGCTCACAACTTTATTATACACATATAAACGCGGGACGTGAGAAATGTTATACTCTCTCTAGTTCATTATAAATGTCATTTCATTATAAATGTCATTTCATTATAAATGTTGTTTTAGGTTTATGAACATTTATTTTGTAACAAATTTTTTTTTCTAAAACGACACTTAATATGAAATGGATAGAGTATATTCAATGTACATTATTTTTTGCTAAACTGCAAATATCATTAATATGTTGTTATAGTACCAACCTTCTTGGGATAGAGCATCAAGAGCATGATGAGTACCGGAATCACCTGCGGCGGAGAGTAACAAATGACGGCGTCTAGAATATTCCTCCTCTTCCTCTTCTTGCAACCGTCTCCGTTCAGCTCTTACGGCAGCTTTGACACCGTACCGTTCACCTACGAGAAGCTCCCAACGAAAGATATGAGAGAGGCTATTCATCATATCCTCAAGCTCCTCGTCCTTCATGCCGACAAGAGTGCTCGCGGTAAAACCTAACTCGGCTATCTTTGCGGTCGTGTAAAAACGTACACCGTAAGGACCGAACAAACCTTCTAACCCACCTAGTCTCATTCCAAACGCTGCCGTTTGAGGTGTTACCGGTGGTTGTTGCTGCTGCGGAGGAGGAGGAGGAAGCTGAGGTGGTTGTGGTTGTTGAATCATTGTTCTCGTTGGGTTCCATCGGAATAAGCCACTCGTGAAACCTTCAGGATCCATATTCTGTTTTCTTTACTTTTTTTTTTGAGGAGAATGTTTTATTGTTAAAGTGACCACTCGAAGCAGCTTCTATATATACACAACAGTAAAGAATTTAGGAAATAAATACAAGTTTTAAAAATATTCCTATTTTATATATATGTATATGTAAAGTAATAGATAAAGAAGATATGTGTCTTGCTGGAAAATTGACAGTTGTGACTAAACAAGTCAAGCTTTTTCTTTCATCGACATTCTTTTTTATCTACTCCGATTAGGACAGTTTGTCATTTGGTGACACGTTAGATTATAAAATGATTAGGGTTTTTTACTGTGAATGTGATGATCCCTCTCTTATAGTTTATTCTTCTAAAACCTTTTTTTTTTTGTTATGAAAGAGAAATATATGTGAGAGTATATTTCTATGCAGTGTCATTCGTAATATTCAAATTACTAGGTGATTTTCCCGTGCTCATGCACGGGTATTAATATTCATAAAAATAAAATTTTATAATAATTGTTTGATATTAGTTTTAGTTTTGAATCAATTTATATGTATAATT